AGGCACACACATGGACACGGGCATGCTCACACCTAATGAGAACCCCGCGGTGCATGTGCAAGGTGATGTAGTGGGAGCCGGTGCTGCCATTGGACTCCCAGTAGGTCTTGGGGTTGCGGTCGGTCAGCTTGCTGGCCCGGTGCGGGTTGGAGGACACCTCCACCTTCTCCCAGCACTTGTCCTCCTTCACTTCCACGCTGGAGCCTGTGGACAAGGGAGAAGCCTGGGTAGTCGAGAGAGAAGAAAGGAAAGGGCTAGGGAGCAGGAAGGGAAGGGGAGCAGATGCTGGGGTGGGAGCCAGGAGAAAGCAAGTCGGGGCACGAACCCTGGCAGAGATGCCTGAGAAACACGTCAAAGAAGGGGATGTTGATGGGGCGGTGGGTTCGTCGGTGGTCCTCAATCTGGCCCAGCACCATCTGCACCAGGACAGCAGAGAAGGGGTGGGGGACAAGGAAACACATACGGAGAAAGAGTCAAGGGACATCAGAACACTCTGCCCTGTTCTCCCCAAATTTCTTTAGAATAGAACCACATGGGGTAAAGGCTGTGGAATAAGTGTCCTAGATTTGCCACCCACTTGTGCCAAACAGGGACGCACACTGAATCCCCTTCCTTTGCTTCTGGCTTATGTTCTCCCTCTGCTCCGGACCCACCGGCCTCCTCACCTGAATGCAGCCAGCCAGGATGCTGGAGGTGAGGTTACTATAGAGCTGGGCGTGTTTCTCACACTCTGTCACCAGGTCCCGAAGCTCACAGGCCAGCAGCAGCGGAGCCGAGTGCTTGTCCAGGACTTTGGCGAGGGCCTCTTTGGCTCCCAGGCAGCAGAGCACCACGGCATAGTCCTTGTGCATCGAGGCCAGGCGATACAGGAAGCAGAGCAGCTCCTGAACAATCTGGCCCAGAGCCACAGAGGTTACCGCGAGGAAGCAGAGGGCAGGCTGTGTACAGGCCGAGGGGTGGGATCAGTAAAGGGCGTGTGGGGGCTGAGATTCTGGAGAACCTGAACGCCAGGGGAAGCGGAGCACCAAGACAGGCTGGCACAGAACCCTGGGGCGCCGGGACTCCAGCACGAGCTGCCAGGGGCAGAGTTCAGGCACAGCTTCTTCCTGTTAGGGCCAAGCTGCCTCCAGAGCCAGTCTTGGTGCCTGAGCCCTGCTACACAAGGCACAAGCTCCAAGGATGGAGAATAAGGACGTGGGGACTAGTGAATGTGGGCTTCTCCTAAGCCCAGAAGCTAAAATTCAAGTGCAGCCAAGAGTCCCAGTTCTGGAGACTCAGATGACACTGGCCTTGTCCTTCCCACACACATCCCCCCACCAGCATCCAGACCCATCCAGAAAGGCTGTGTTGTGCCCTCTGGAGCCCCACAAGGTAGCTGGTACCCAGAGGCTGCCCTTCCCTCCCCCACCTTTGCCAGGGCCCAGGTACCTCAGAGTCACTGCTTGGGCCACTCAGACAGCTGAGGCAGGGCTCCAAGACCTCGTGCCAGGGGAGGACCATTGCTTCAGAGTGATCCAGCAGCCGGGTCATGACCCTGGCAAGGGTTGCAAACAAGTGAAGTCCCTGTGGTCTGCCAGTGCCCCGGCCTCTGACGCACAGGCACCCCCTCCAAGCAGGCCCCTCACCTCAGCGCCGTCAGCAGCAGAGTTTTGTTGGGCCCAGGAGCATCCAGGGTCCGCAAAAACAGGAGGAAAGGCTGGCTCTCCTGCTGGAGGCGCTTGAGGAGGGGCCTCACAGCGCCCCCAGGGCTGCCCTCGCGGCACAGCACGCGCTCCAAGTCCAGGAGGAGTTCTGCAGACGGGCCCCCCACCAGGGATCGGATCAGTAGCTCAGGGGACCCATCCTGGCCCTGGGCGCCAGGGGTCTCCAGGGCTGCTGCCCAGACACACAGGAAGGAAAAATGGGTATGAAGAAAAGTCATACAAGTCAGTCAAACTGAGAAATGGGCAGAGGCAGAAAACCACTCCCAGATTTTCTTCCCATTGTGTGTTGTGGATGTCTGCAGTTTCTACCCAATTATGGGGGATGTTTTTTTCTGGCCCCTAATATATACGTAGCTATATCTGAAAAAAGAGTCTAGCACGGCAGACACTGTTAAGTTAGTCACAACACAGTTTTAATCTCACAGTCATGCAATTACCTTTTATTACTGAAAGTCAGCTGTGCTATTCCATAAGCCAATAAATATTAGCTATTATAGTTACATCCACACACTACCCAGTGTGGTGGCTTCACATGTACAGACTAGAAGACACACAATGCTCACTCTGGTTTCCCCCACACTCCTGGGTTTTACTTGTTAAATACAGAGGGCTTCTTCACTATGACATCAGTATTTCACATTCTAGTCACAAACTCTCTACCATAAGTTACAATTCCTCTAAAAAGGAGGTCTCTCTAGAAGTTATTCCAACCAATCTTCCAGTGTCTAATAAGAGAGGACCAGACCCAGCCCAGGCAGACAGGCATCCTCATATATTTAAAGCCATTCAGAGAAGGCAATTTCCTTGTACCTGTTCTAGAGCCCCCTCTCCTCTCGGCCTGGAAGCTTTCCTTAGGACCTAACTTGAGCACCAAAACCCTCACTCATTTGCTGAAGGTTCATAGTGTCTTTCCAGAAGGTACCAGTATGTACAAGTTAGCCCTCCTGGCCACGGGCTGGCACTGATTCCTCAGCACAGCCACCCTGTCCACAACCATACCTGCATGCTCGGGACTGCCTAGTGGCTCCGAGTAGCGATTGAGAAGCATTGTGAGGATGGTGCGCGTGGTGGGCATGGGTTCTCTCCCCGGTGCTATACCCGAGTGTCTAAACAAGGTGTCTCTCAGCTCTTGGGTTATAATCTGATCTCCCAGAGTGTGGTGGTTGCACAAAAGCAGATTGAGCAGGAGCAGGCCGTTTCTCACAGCAGAGGAGCACCTGGGAGGAGGGAGGTAACCCAGGAAGAAATTGAAAGAGTAAACGCGCTGGAAGCTGGAAGCAAGGACAGAGGGGAGGGAGGGGCTCCAGGGCTCCCTCTGAGGCCAGACATCTCCCGACCCTAGCAGGAAGGGCAGGGTGTCTCTGCTCTCCCTGGAATGTCCCTACCCTCAACTACTTGGCCTTTGTTTCAACAACAGTCGGAGAGGATGACCAGCATTTTACCCAGAGGTAACAATGGGAGGGGAATTTCTGGGGAACAATGAGACTTGGGCAGGAGCAGCAGAGCTTGGGGCTTAGCAGGAGTTTGGAGTTTGGAAGGTGAGGTCCTCACCCCTCCGTGTTCAGCATCAGGACCACGGCTGCAGGGATAGTGAGGAGCAGGCTCTCAGAGCCCGGGCGGGTGGCTGAGTCAATGCTGGCGAAGATCTCTCTGGTCATCTGGGCATCAAACAAAGGGTGGGCAGAATCTCGGCCAGTAACAGAAGTGGGGATATCCGAGGAGCTGGCAATGGCCAGCATCTTCAGTGCCTGCGAAGGAGTGTGGAAGCAGAGTCAGAAGTGGGCAAAGCCACCAGGCAAAGGGAGGGGCCATCGTTCTAGACCTAAAACTTTGGGGCAGCTGAGCTGTTTGCAAATAGGTCAAGGGGGAGATGGAAATGAAAGAGGTAGTGATGGGACTCAAATAGCCAAAAAAAAAAAAAAAAGAAAAAGAAAAGAGAAGGAAGGGGAGGGGAGAAGAGGCAGAAAGGACGGGGAAGTAAGCCAACAAAATACCCTAAGGCTGGATGGAAACAGAAACCTGCAGCTTCTCCCTGCCAGCACTGAGGCTGGTGGGTGCCAGGGTGTCCGCCCGCTCCGGAAACTCCCCCTCAGAAGGGAGCCCTTCACAGCCTCTACTTGTCTTCACGGCTTTCCTTGAAGTTGTCTTCCACCTCGCTGGACCACTCCTCCTTTGCAAAATCTCTATTCCCTGGAGTTCCACAACTTCTCATCCTCCTGGTTGTCCTATCTCTCTGGACTTCCTCTGCCTGGTCCTTAAACATGGAAGTTCCTTGTCCCCCTCTCTCTTCTCCCTGCGCTCCCTCCCTACGCAACCTCATCCTCTTCCACAGCCTCTGCTGCTACCTGCACACCTGCGCTCCCACACCTACATCCCCTGGCCTCCAAAGCCAGTATTCAACCCTCCCAGACAAGGTTACTTGGGTTGATCACAGGCAGAGTGGTTAGAAGTGTATGAAAAAACACTTGTAATGTGTAAGCTTGTTTGCTGGTACTAGAGAGAAACCTCAATTAAGATGAACACTATACAATTAGGATAGAGAATGTCTTGGCTGGTGAAAGGGTTGACTCTTGAGAAGAAACCCTCTAGGGATGCAGCAAATTAGAAATAATTCCCAGGACAATCTCCCTTATGAAGGCTGGACCCGTCAAGCAAATGCCACCTCCTAATGAGGCTTTCTCCTTTCAGCTACCCTACTTTCCCCTAACTAGCTGAATTCTGTAGACCTTAAGATATTTTTAAAAAGGATGCAATTTTGTTATAGGGGAAGAGTCTGAGTTTAGAGACAAATGTTGTAGTTTGTTCATGCAATTTGAGAGGACCAGGGAATTCTTTGAGCAGACATGACCTAGACTATAAATGTTTGGCTGCTCTTGGGGGGACCAGCACCTAGCTGGCCCCATAAAGGAAAGAGCCTCCAGGCCTCTCCTGGGACAGCCTGCCCTGAGAGGACCTATGCTCCCATCCCCGCTGTTGCTCTTACACTGTCGGAATCCATTCTCAGAACTGCTCTGGATGAGGCCTACCTGACCCCCGGGGGACTCTCAGGTTACACAGAGCACACCCTGCCCATACCTCCCTAACAGCCAGCACTGCTATCTGGGCTACTCAGGAAGCTACTTCTCCCTCCCTGAATGCGGGCCTCCCTCCCCACTCTCTGGGCCCTGGGCAGCAAGACAATGGCAACACTGGCTTCGCCTTACCCGCATCTGGTGGGGGAGGAGATCTTCAGGGTACCGGTACCACTAAGGTACAAGGGTTAAAACATACTGTCACATCTAGAAAATTAGTCTTTAATCAGACACTTAGTTATAAATAAAAACCCGCAGGAAAATCAGCACACCTGAAAATTCAGCCTGAGCTTCTCCCCACGCCTCTTCCTCCTCCAACATTCTCCCACTCAGCAAATGACAACCTCATCCTCCCTGCTGCTCAATTTTAAACCTGGGAGTCACTCCTAAAAACATTCTTCTCCCTTTCTCCAAATCCACATTCAATCTCCAGGACAGTCCAGCTGGAACGCCTCAATCCACCTGCGTTTTTTCATCCCAACGTCTCCTCGTCTGAATCCCCATAGAACCTCCCAGAATCAGGAGCCCCGCAACCTGCCTGCCTCACCCATCACTCTCTACCGCCAGGTCCAGTCCACTCACCGCCAGCCCTGCCTGCTGCACCAGGACGGAAGTCTTATATTCTTGCATGCAAACCAGCACAGCATAGATGCCACCCTCCCTGGCGAAGAGGGGGCGCCATTCGTGCTTGGTCATGAGCAGGTAGAGGAGGCGCAGGGCCAGCACCACCACCATCTTCTCTCCCACCTGGTTGGTCAGCAGCTCCACCAGCGTCTTCACTAGCTTCTCTCTGAGAGAGAGAAGAGACATAGGGGTTCCCCCTCCCGGGGAAGGCCTCATTACCTGCCCAACCCTACCCATGAACATCCAGTCTATCACCCCCACGCCCCTCCAATCTATTCTCTCTCCCTCAGCTTCATCCCAATCCCCTCTCCTCTGCAATCTGTCTTGGGCTCTTGACCTCATGAAGTAAGCAGTAGAGCAAAATGGTTATAAATGCTGGTTCATCTTTTCAAATAAATCTATAAATTCAGTGAAATTCTAATCAAAATGACTAAAAGATTTTGAAAACATGATAGACAGATTCAGGCACAGGAAGAGAAAACATGCAAGAATAGTCAAGAAATGTTTGGAAAGAAGTAATGGTAAACTTGCCTAGTAGTTACCAAAATACAAATAAAAACTTTAGTAATAATGAAAACCCTGGGAACTACACAGGGTAGCCAAAGAGATCAAGAGATGAGGAGAGAAAGGTGGCATCTCAGACAGTGAGGACGGGAAGGAGCACTGGAACATGAGGCAGGGACACGAGACTGCCATCTGAGAAAGTGAAAGCTGGAGCTCTGCTTCACTCCATTTGCAAAAATAAACCGCAAACAGATTTTAAAATAAATGTAAAAAGTAAAACACAGATATTTTTGGAAAGTAGAGGGAAATATGTTTATAATCCTGGAATGGAATAAAGCCTCTTAAAACCTAGAAGCCATAAAAAAAAAGTTGAAAAATACAGCAACATGAAAATCTAAAACTTCAGCCCAGTGAAAGGCACTACCCACAAAGCTAAGAGGGCCCCGCGGGAACGCTGATCTGAAGGAAGGAAGAAGTGCCTCCTGAGTGCCTAGACCCGCTGCGCTTCATAAGAGGAGAAAGGCTGGACTGACACCTTTCTCCCCAGTGACAGAGACGCATATCGAAGAGATGGCCTGGGAACTGGGGAGGGACTAACGACAAAAAGAGAAATTCTGAGCAAGAAGGCAAATAAAGGTGCTGAGAAAGCTCGGCCTTTTCTCATGAGCTTTATGATGACCACATGTGAACCAAATTTGCTTTAAATATATATTCCCCTCTGGTAGCCATGATTTACTAAAAAAAAGTTAATATACACATGTAGGTAATACATATGAATATAGAAATATGAATAAGGATGTTTACCAAAATGTTAACAGTGACTATCACTGCATGAGGTGTTTTCAGATGATTGTTATCTTCATAATTTTCTAATTTTTTTTTACAGTGAATGGATATTATTTTGTATTCAGAAAATAAAGTTAGTATGATTTGGGGGGAAAAAAGACAAGCAAAATATTTGTAACATATGTAATGGATTAATACTCAGAATGTCTGTAAATCAACAAGAAAATAACAAAGACCCAGTAAGAAAGTGAGCAAAGGATAAGAATATTTATAGAAGAAACATAACAAATGCATGCAATATGCCTAACTTCACTAGAAAGAAGAAATTAAAAGAAGGAGCTACCAATTATTTTAAGTTTTGCCAATCTGATAGATTTTTAAAAATGATAATATCCACTGGTAGCAGATGTGAGGGAAAACAGATCCACTAGAGCACTGGATTCGAACTTAGATATAATCATACTGCAGCGTCCGAGGCAGCAGTGGGGATGAAGCAGCGCCACGTGGAGCGACGTGGAGAGCCCTCCCAGACACACAGAGCACAGGGGGAAAGCTGCAGGAACAGGCAGAGTGTGAGCACGTACACTGAAGCACAAACTCAGAAAACACACGAACAAGTGTACATCTCTAGAAGGTCTGAAGGATACATGCTGGGACGTGTGACAACAATGGTAAAAAGGGACTCTGGCTTTTCATTCTCTGTTCTCTTATATCCTTCGGGATCTTTTAAAGTAAGAATGCAATTGTGCATTATTTGTATAATTAAGAAGTATGTAATAGAAAGAAAGTAGGGAGGGAGGAAAAAGAAAAGAAAACTCAAGCTCTAAAGCCAAAAGGACCTAGGTTTGAATCCCGGCTCTGTGATCTGTCAAACTCTGGGTAAGTTTAAATTCTCCAAGGATCAGTTTCCTGACCCGCACAACAGGGTGAGAATAGTGTCACGTCTTCCTCAGGAGAGAGGATTTAATGAGAGAAAGCTTATAAAATTCTAAGCACAGGGCCTGGCCCAGAACAAAAGCTCCAAGAATATTAACCATCGCAATATTCCGCCCTCCTGCTCAGCACTCCTCAGGCTAACCCTTCTCTCCCCTCAGCCTTTCTAACTCTTGATCTCATAGCTCCTTCCCTCCCACCACCAACTTCCCCCACTGAGAGCTTAAACCATAAGCCCTTCCCTCCCCAGCATTCTAACCTCAGGGATCTGTCAGGATGGACCAGAGGGTGGTCCTGCTCAGTGACCTCCTCCACGGCCTGAGAGAGGGCAGAGAGCCCTGAAAGCTGCAGATTTGTGTCCAGGCTGGATATCTGCACAGTGGCCACGACCCCTGCCACGTGCTGATCCAGGGTGCTGCGTGGACCGGGGCTCCGCAAGGCTCTAGCCATTTCTGAAATTGATGGGCGAAAGGCAGTGGCTTAAAAAAATGGTGGACCTCCACACTGGAAGTCGTTAAAGGTCAAGCCCAGTGATCCTACTGACATTTTAAGACACTGTTCACTACTGCAGCTTGCATCCAGAACTTTTCCAATTCTGTGTGAGGGATTTAAGAGTCCAACAATGAAGATGATGATACTCTGGAAAATGGGCCCTCCTCTCCCAGGAATATGAAGAAAGGGAGTAGTGACTGAGTAGACATTATCAAGGTCAAAGGAAGGAAAATAGATGCAAGCTTCCAAAGCATCTTCCCACGCAAAAGTGACCTCACTCCACGCTTGCCCGCTACCCTGACTATCCACTTCTCTGAGGACTGCCCCAGGACTTGTTCCAACCTCTCTGCCCTCCCGTCCCAGCACCTGACTCACCACTGGCTGCCTCCTTCGTCTCAAGGGGCAGAACCATCCCCTCGGTCACCAGAAGCTGGTTGAACAGCTGTGAATCACTCTGTGCCACGGAGGGCTCAGTTTTTCCCTTGGCGGGCTCTGTCTCTGCCTTAAGGGCCTCAGCCTTTGCTTTGGGGGTCTCAGTCTCTTCCTCTGAGAAGCTGGCCTCTGACTTGGACTCCTCTTCTGCATCTGGGGTACAGGAGTGACTTCGTGAAGAAGACGAGCTGCTCAGGGTGTCGGGCAGCAGTCCATACTTGGTGTAGATTTGGGAGTTGACCAGGTCACTTAGGGTGCTGCCCTCAAACCGATTACTGAGAACCTGCAGCAGACCCTCAGCCATCGTGACGGGCACGGAGATCTCACCGAGGGCCTTCTCACCCAGGGTCTGTCAACAGAAATGGCATGTATTCCAGGAACAAGCAGACACAAAGGGCCTGGGGACAGTAACCGGAAGGGTGGCCACCTCTCACCCTGCCTTGCTTACCTTCCACGTCTAGATCCTCCCAGCAGTTGTCTCCTCCCCCAGCAGGACCCCGCATGCTCTCTACCCTCTAGCTCCAGCCTCCCCTCAAGCAGTCCCACGTGGAGAACTACCTCAGAGAACTCCACCTCTAACCCCACTCCAAACCCCCCAGGTATCTCAGGCCTGCAACACCTCATCCAGGTTCTCCTGAAGATTCTGGAAAATCGGCTGCTGCTCAGATATATCCAACTTCTTGATGAAGAAGAGCAGCTCCCACCACTCAGCCTGGGTCAGGTACCCCAGTTCATTCTTCCGAGGCTCGGGCTGGAGGTATGGCAAAGAGTAGAGCTCGTCCACCGGCTTCCAGTCCCAGGAGGGAAGTGCTGAGGAGACAAGTATAGCGGGTCTCAGCCCCGCCAGAACAGAGTGGATTTCTGAAGCTCTGGGGCAGATCCTGGTCAGGAGCGGCTGCATCCCAGCCACTCCTCCTCTGTTCAGAGACATGATGCCCCTGTCCCCTCCAAGGCTCACCTGTGCCCAACCCTGTAGCCCCTGCCCCCTTCTCCATGGCTGCTGAAGCCGAATCCTCAGCAGCTTCCTCAGGGCCCAGGATCTCCAGCATGTACCAGTGCACCCGGCAGGTACGGCCCGTCGACTCCCAAAAGACCTGGTATTGAGGGAGGAAGAGAGAGAGAAGGGAGAGGGCTCAGCCCTCTGTACCCTGTGCTGTGCAGGCTTGACAGGACATGGCCAGCCCTAGAGCCTGGGCACACAGCCCTCAGATGCGCACCTGGCTAGGCTTGTGAAACCTCCGGAGACAAAAGGCTCCCTTCCCCCATCAAGGTAGGTCCTGCTTCTCATCTCTTCCCATTCCTGACTCTGCTCCAACACTCCCTCCAAAGCCAACTCCACTGGTCGGGGTGAGGGTGTCTGGATAGGTGAGTTACGCTTCCTGGGTGTGAGTCCCTCCTTGACCTCACAGCCCACCCACTCCTGCCAGATTTTCTCAGCCCTCCAAAAAGCCCCCTCTCTCAATTGCTGACCTCTTTAAACATTCGAATTCCCTTCGGAATTTTCTCCTTGGCCGGCCTCTAAGAGTCCTTTGCATGCATGCCCCAGCTGTGCCCCGCCCAAATAAGGCTCCCAACAGTGTTCCCCCACTGCACACTCACTCACCTGCACAGGGGGCACACGATTTTTGCTCCGCCGAAACTCGCCCTCGTCCCCAGCATGAATCTCCTCAAAATCATCCAGCATCCGCACTCGCATCCCCGGCTGCAGCGTCTGCTGCACGTACTCACTGTAGCGCTGCAAGTAATACTCCCTGTAGCCACTGAAGAATTCACTAGAGAATTCGGAGCGCTGGCGGAAGGCCCGTCCTTGCTTCTTGGGGGTGGCAACAACGGCGGGCAGTAAAAGGCTGGGGCCTGAAATGCCAGGCTGAAAGATGGACCGCGTTGGCCGGGACGGTGGTGTGCCCTGTTCGTTGAGGTTCCGGACCCAGCCCATGCTCCGCACCAGCTCCTGAGATGAGGCTGCCCACAGCCATGCTGAACTCCAGCTCCCGCTGCCCCCGGCTTTTCACCCGGCCAAAATCCTCCCTTGAGGATGGGGAGCCTTGGTCTCCAGCCCCTGGCTCCGGACTGTTATTCAGCTGATCCAGCAGGGAAGTGACACACAGGTAACGTTTCACCAGGGAGAAGAGCTGCTTTCCTGGGATCTGTAGGACACAGTCTATGGTGTGGGTTCCCCTTCTCCCAGCTTGAGCCCCTCTTCTTTCCCCTCAACACCATCCTCTACAGAAGAATATAAAGGCTTCATCCCCACGCCTGTAGTTCTCAGACTGTGAGTCATGTAAGAAACACACCAGGGGTGCCTTAACACAGACCCTGAGTTCTAATTTCAGAAATTCTGAGCAGAAAGGGTAGCGTGAACCTTAATTTTAATAAACTCCCCCTGTGGCTCTGGTGCTTATGCAGTCCTGAACTACATTTTCAGAAATGATGCCCCAGGACTTGTGCACAGCATTTCCCCCACAGCTGCCAGGGTACCTGAGGCAGATGAATGCCCTCAAAGGCCATGCAGTGTTCCTCAGAAGATGTGGTCTCTGCAAACAGCTCCAGCAAAGTATAGCGGCTGTCAAAATCCATGTGCTGCTCGATGCCATCTTGCTGGCTCAGTGACAGGAGGACGTGAGCCCGACTTCCTGTAATCCACACCCAATCCATGTCTTCTCCATCCCTGATTCTCCTTCCACCCTGCCCTCTTTCCCCAGACTCTCTACCCCAGAGGCTTTCAAATTTCTTTGTGACTGAGACTCACAGCAACGTATACATTTTTCTGGGGTAACCTGATACAAGTGTGCACATGTGGAACTAAAACATAGTTCTTGCTACAAAACTTACATTATTAAGTGCTACATGCTGATATTTTACATCAAAAATGTTGATTGTAAACCACCAAATTGACTTCATAACCAACTAACAAATCTCAAACCAGTTTAAAAAGATAAACTTACTCCCTTCTCTTCCCTGCTACTGCCCTGAGAATGGACAGATAAACCAGATTAAAAAGCTATCATTTTATCCTGCTTATGTACCTGTGGTAGCTTATTAATCTTATTTTCCCTTTGCAATGAAATTGATATTCACCAAATATTAGGTGTTTTGACAGAGTTGGGAAACCCCTCCTCCACCTGTTCTTACTCCTAGTGGTCCCATTCTCTCCAGTGTTTTCCCTCTTCCCCTGGCTGTCTCTTACCAGCATCATGGGCTGCCAGAGCCTGTAGCATCTTGCCTGCGCTCCGACGGATCTGAGGCTCAGAGTTGCATAGCATGTGCATGAGCAGGTCCAGGGCTCCCGTCTCCCTAAAGACCCCAGTGAGGGGCCCGATGCTGGCGTAGGCACTGAGCACATGGATGGTGTGGAGCACAGCGGCCGTGAGGCTCGAGGTTCCCCCTTCTGCCAGCTGCCTGGCAGCCCTGTGTACCAGTGCCCGCACATCGGCTTCCATCTCTCCCATTGCCACATCATCCAGGCCTCCTGGGTCTCGCGGAAAGCTTCCTGAGCCCCCAGCTGTTTCATGCTGAGGTGCCTTAGATAATGCCCGCTCGCCTAACAGCATGGGGCAGTTAGCGTAGACTTCGGGGGCTGACAGCCACATGAGGATGTGCTCTGCCTTGCCCTCTTCCTCACTCACTCTGCCCACTTCCCCACACTTCAGGACAGTCCATCGGATCAGGTATTCAGGACGGCCATCATGCCCAGGCCGCTGTCGAAGAAGTTCTTCAGGATATGCCTGCAGCCGGGGCCCCAAGGGCACCATGAGGTCCCCAGTGCGCCGTTCCCCCACCATCCTGACCTCCTAGGACACACAAGGAGAGAAGTAAAGGCAGTATGGGAAAGGGAAAAGACTTCATGTAGGGAGTGGAATCTTGAGGCACAGACAGGATGGGTGGTGACTGGCAGACTGTACGGAATTTAGAAGCCAAAGAGAGAAGGTCAAGAATAGGCTGAAATAAATTACTTAAACATACTCTGGGATTTAAAAGAGAGGCAGAATGGAGTGAAAAGAGAGGGAAACAAAGAAGTTTAAGAAACGGAAAAAGTCACAAGAGAGGATGAAAAGAATTACAGGCAAGGTATCAGAAAGAGCTGAGAGTTAAGTAGGACCGTCTGGACAGTCTGCATGGCTGAGGGGTACAGATCAGGACTTAGGATGACACAGGTGAGCAGGGAGGACGGCAGCCTGTAAGACAGTGGAGCCAGAACAAGTGAGGAAAGTCAGGACAGGGAAAGGACAGGACAGGGAGTATAAATGGCAGGACAGAGCTAGAATGTGAACATGAAGGGTTGGGCCATGGCAGAGAGAAGAGATGAAAGGAGGCCCCTGTATCCAGATGGCTGGATGGGAAAAGGGTATGAGACTACTGTGAAACGGGGAAGGGCTTAGGGGGCCAGATAAAATTATGGGAGAAAAAGACCAGGTCCCACCCTGCACTTATGCCGTATGAAGACGTAGGTATAAGTCAGGTAGATATAGATGGAGGTGGTAATCCTGGCACTGAAGGGTAGGGAATGAGGTCAGGAGATGGTAGAGGTATTAGAGAGGCAATACAGCACAGATTTCAGAATCAGATAAATGTGACTCTGAATTCTGGCTCTTTCACTTACTGTGTGTGTAGTTTTGGATAAGTTACTTAATCTCTAAGCTTCAGTTTCCTCCTCTGCAAAAAGGTAATAATATTCATACCCAACCCATAAAGTCGTAAAAACTTATTAAGATACCATACATAAAGCATTCAGAACAGCCTCTAGCACATAGTGAGAGGTCTGTAAAATATAATCTAATATTAACATTCTTAGAGAAGGTAAGGGCAGTCCTCAGATAAATGCAACATTACTAAGCCAGAAAAAGATTATAAATGATGGCTATGCTAGTGATCAGGGAAAGATACAAAACAGTATAGGGGCAACGGGGAATGGTGAGAATAAGAATGGACTGCAAACCCAGATGTAGAAAAGGTGATCAGGACAGGGGTCATGTTGGGGTACAGGGAAAGAAGATGAGAGTAGAGGGCGTGAAGAGGCGGGGAAACAGATGTGGATCTCAATTGGGATAGGGGTCCAGTTAGCATAGAGGGCAGGACTGAGAGATAACCAGTGACATGCGACGCACAGATGATGAGCAGGGTGAGGTAACAAAATCGGAAAGGCCTAAATGGGGAGAGAGCAAGGTACTATGCCAGGCCTAGAACAGGAGCAATTAATTGAGGTGTGAGGGTGAGGTGTGAACGCAGGGATGAGACAGCAAGCAGGCGCAGGTGGCAAGGTCAGGCCCAAGCTTGCAGACCAGCGGAGGTGGTAAAGGAGGCTCGCACCGCCGTGGGAACGGGCTGCGGTGAGGGGGTGAGGGGTGGGGGGCGCGGTCGGTGGAAGCTGACGGGACAGTGCGAATCTCAGAGACCAAGACCTGGCTCTGTCGTCAGCCCCACGGAGAGTGGGCAAGGGACTGGGGGCGGAACGGGGCAGCGGCCGAGGGGTGCAGAACTCGCTTCTCACCTCCCAC